CCCGTGAGCGGGTGCGTCAGATCCAGGTGGAAGGGCTCAAGCGCTTGCGTGAGATCCTGGAGAAGAATGGCCTGTCGAGCGAGTCGTTGTTTCAATAGCGGCGCAGTTTGAATGCCTGAATGGGGGAGGGGGCTTGCCCCCGATAGCGGTGTATCAGTCAAAGCAAGTGCCGACTGCTAAGCCGTCATCGGGGGCAAGCCCCCTCCCACATTTTTTATCAGGCACCAGTGGCTGCGAATACCAAATCCCGGGCATAAAAAAACCCCGCTTTTAAGGGCGGGGTTTTTTCGACTAAGTCAGTACAAGTTAGATAACTTGAACTTCTTCAGCTTGCATGCCTTTCTGACCGCGGGTAGCGATGAAAGAAACCTGTTGGCCTTCTTTCAGGCTTTTGAAGCCGTCGGATTGGATAGCTTTGAAGTGAACGAACAGGTCGTCACCGGATTGTGGAGTGATGAAGCCGAAGCCTTTTTCATCGTTGAACCACTTAACGGTACCAGTTTGGCGATTAGACATGGTGTATCTCCTTGGACAAAGTTAACTGCGACTCAGGAAAAGCCCTGGCCGAGACTGAGTGCAAAGAGCAGGAAAAATTCTTGGAGATGGTTGGATCGAAATTCAACATATCGTGTAGAGATTCTCAGTGACACAAGCAGCACAGTGGCGCCACCTTAACCCTTTTTCCGGAACGTGCCAATGATATTTCCGAAGGTTTCTCCAATTTCGTGACTGGCGGTGATATTTCCAGTCACCCGACCCAGTAGCGTGGGGCCCAGCCCCGCTGGCTGGAGCGTATGAAGAGGCCCGCTTTCGTCAAGAAAACCCCCACGCCCTTTGAACCCCAACGCCGGCACCGGTAAGATGCCCCACAGAATTTTTCCACCTCGCTATTCAGGACACCCGCCATGAGCATCAAATCGGACAAGTGGATTCGCCGCATGGCGCAAGAGCACGGCATGATCGAACCCTTCGTCGAGCGCCAGATGCGTGGCGAAGGCGCCGAACGCCTGATCTCCTATGGTGTTTCCAGCTATGGCTACGACGTGCGTTGCGCCGATGAATTCAAGGTGTTCACCAACATCAATTCGGCAACCGTCGATCCGAAAAACTTCGATGAAAAGAGCTTCGTCGATATCAAGAGCGACGTGTGCATCATTCCGCCGAACTCTTTCGCCCTGGCGCGCACCGTGGAGTTTTTCCGTATCCCTCGCGACGTGTTGACCATCTGCCTTGGTAAAAGTACCTACGCGCGCTGCGGCATCATCGTCAACGTGACCCCGCTTGAGCCTGAGTGGGAAGGCCACGTGACCCTGGAGTTCTCCAACACCACCACATTGCCGGCAAAAATCTACGCCAACGAAGGCGTGGCACAGATGCTGTTCCTGCAATCCGACGAGGCCTGTGAAGTGTCCTACAAGGACCGTGGCGGTAAGTATCAGGGTCAGCTTGGCGTCACCTTGCCGCGCGCTTGATCGAAAGCTCCTACACGTAAAGGGAATTAGTCTGAAGAAAGTGACTCTATTGGGTGTACTGCCCCGACACGTGTGAAGTGTGTCGGGCCACGCTTGAGGAGTACTTTATGAAGATCGACCCCCGAATCAGCGCAGAACTCGCACGGCTGGAGCCCAATCAGATTGGTGTTCTAGCCTGGTCCCTGATGGCCGACCCTGCCTATGCGGGCGGCATCCCCGGCCAACCTGGGCCGGATTATCCGCAGCCCGGTGAGCCCGGTGAGCCTACCCGGCCGGACGAGGCACCCCCCGTGCCCGTTGCCTGAAGCCTTTAGGGTTGGCCTGCATCATCTGACAAACCATACCTCCTGATCGCCAATCACCAGAATCCGGTGGTTGGCGTCCGGTTCCACCCTATAGCCCCCTGTAAACGCCCCGAACGCGGGTAGCAGGCTGACCCGCGGCCCGAGCTGAAAGCAGGGCAAGCGCAGGCTCTGGCGACCCTTGCCGCGCAAGCGATATACCGGATGCACATGACCTGCCAGTACATGGTGGCTGGGGTGAGCGTCCGGTTCGTGTTGCAAGGCAAACGGCCCCATCAGCAACGGTTCTGCTACCACGTCGATGCCGAGCTCGGCCGGCGGGTCACCCGCCCGCTTATCGTGATTGCCGCGAATCAACGTCATGGGCAGTTGGCGATGCTGGGCGCGCCACGCTCGCAGGGCGCTCAGCGTGCCGCTGGCATGGGAGCCGGGGCCGTGCAGGAAGTCGCCGAGGAAGATCACCTGCGCGCAGTCGAATGCTTGTAGCAGTCGGTCCAGTCGCGCCAGGTTGTCGGTGGTGGTGCCTTGGGGCACCGGTTGCCCCAGGCTGCGATAGGCCGACGCTTTGCCAAAATGCGCGTCGGCGATCAGCAGGCAATTGCGCGCTGGCCAGTAGATAGCTTTCTCCGCCAGCAGCCATAACGTTTCGCCTTCAAGCTGCACTTCGCAATACATCAAGTTTTCCCGTTATCCGCGACTTTTTCCAAATCCTTGACCATCCGCGCGATGCGCTCCGAGAGTTTTTCCGAACTCATGCTTTCGCGCATCCGCTCCACCAGTAGCGGAAAAGCCAGGGGCGTGGGCCGTTCGATTACGTGCAGGTCCAGTGTCAGGGTGCAAAGATGTCTCAACGCCGCTTCCAGGCGGCGGATGTCCAACTCGTCTCGCAATACTTCTTCGCCAGCCTGGGCCAGCAATAGGTTGTGCGGGTCATACTGCTTGAACACTTCAAAGAACAAGCCGCTGGAAGCCTGCACCTGCCGGGTGCTTTTCGGCGCGCCGGGGTAACCGGCGAACACCAGCCCGGCGATACGGGCGATCTCGCGGAAGCGGCGCAGGGCCAGTTCACCGGCGTTCAAGCTGGCCGCCACATCCTCCAGCAGGTTATCCGGGCTCAGCAGCTCAGAATTCAACAGTGCCGGCCAATCCACGGGTGTAGCGCTGAGCAGTTCCAAGCCATAGTCGTTGACCGCAATGGAAAAGGTGACGGGTTGCCCCTGGCTGACGCGCCAAGCCAGCAAACTGGCCAGGCCGAGATGCACTTGGCGCCCCGCGAACGGGTAGAGGAACAGGTGCCAACCCTCCCGTGATTTCAGCGCTTCGGCCAACAAATGCTCGCGTGTCGGCAGGCCCGACCAGCGCAACTGGGTCTGTAGCAACGGCTGCACCGCGCGCATTTCCGGGCCGTCGAAGTGGCCATGGGCGGCAGCATCGAAACGTTCCACCACGGCCTGGGCCAGTTCGTTGGAAAGCGGCATGCGCCCGCCATTCCAGCGCGGTACGGCGGCTTTTTTGGCGTTGCTGCGGCGTACATAGGCAGTCATGTTTTCCACCCGCACCAGCTCTAGCAAACGCCCGGCAAACAAGAAGCCATCCCCAGGTTTGAGCCGCGCGATAAAGCCTTCCTCGACGCTGCCCAGGTTCTTGCCGCCGCCGCCCTTGCTCCAGAATTTCAGCTGAATGCTTGCATCGCTGACGATGGTGCCCACGCTCATGCGATGGCGCCTGGCCAAGCGTGCATCCGGTACACGCCATATGCCGTGTTCGTCGGGCTCCACGCGGCGGTAGTCCGGATAGGCCGTCAGCGATAAGCCGCCGTGGCGCACAAAACCCAGGGCCCAGGCCCAGTCGGCGTCAGTAAGGTCGCGATAGGCCCAGGCGCCGCGCACTTCCTCCAGCAACGACACGGGCATAAAGCCACCGCCCAAGGCCATACTTACCAGATGCTGTACGAGTACATCCAAGGGTTTGTAGGGTGATTCGCGGGCTTCGATGCGGCGCTCGGCGATCGCGTCCTGAGCCGCCGCCGCTTCAATCAGTTCAAGGCTGTGAGTCGGCACCAGCGTCACTCGGGACGGACGCCCCGGGGCGTGGCCGGACCGCCCGGCACGCTGCATCAGGCGCGCCACGCCTTTAGCCGAGCCGATCTGCAACACCCGCTCGACCGGCAGAAAATCCACCCCCAGGTCCAGGCTGGAGGTGCACACCACCGCCTTGAGCTGCCCGTCTTTGAGCGCCCGTTCGACCCAATCACGGGTCTCGCGGGACAGCGAACCGTGGTGTAAAGCAATCAGCCCGGCCCAATCCGGCCGCGCATCGAGCAGGGCCTGGTACCAGATTTCCGACTGTGCACGGGTGTTGGTGAACACCAGGCAACTGCTGCTGGCGTCCACCTCGGCCACCACCTGCGGCAGCATTTTCAATCCGATATGCCCGGCCCAGGGAAAGCGTTCGGACACCGGCGGCAGCAACGTGTCGACGTGCAGCGCCTTGGCCGTTTGCCCCTGCACATTGATCCCGCCGCCTTGTGGCACCAGTACTTCCAAGGCGTGGGATTGATTACCCAGCGTCGCGGAAATCCCCCACACCATTAAGTCAGGATGCCAACGGCGCAAGCGTGCCAAGGCCAGTTGCAACTGCACCCCGCGTTTGTTACCGATCAGTTCGTGCCATTCATCCACTACCACCATGCGCACATGGGCCAGGCTGGCTTCGCTGTCGGCGCGGGCCAGCATCAGGGTCAGGCTTTCCGGGGTGGTGACCAGTGTGGTCGGCTGGCGACGGGTTTGTCGGGCGCGCTCAGCGCTACTCGTGTCGCCGGTGCGCAGGCCGACACTCCACGGGATTTGCAACGCTGCCAGCGGCGCTTCCAAGGCGCGCGCGGTGTCGGCGGCGAGGGCGCGCATCGGCGTAATCCACAACACCGTCAGCGGCTCGGCCGGTGGCTTACGTTTGCCGGTGGCCGGCGGGCGCGTAATGGCGAAGCGATTGAGCGCGGCAAACCACAGTGCGTAAGTCTTGCCGGCGCCGGTGCTGGCATGCAGCAAGCCGGAATTTCCCTCCTTGACCGCCGTCCACACGGCTTTTTGGAAGGCGAATGGCTTCCAGCCTTTGGCGGCGAACCATTGCCTGACGAAGTCGTGGGGTTTTGCCATGCGGTGGCTGACGCTCTGGAGGGCTTATTCCACAGACCCTCCAGGCGTCACAAAGGTTTACTTCAAATTACCGCTCAAGAACTGTTTCAGACGCTCGCTCTTGGGGTTGCCCAGCACGTCTTCCGGCGCGCCTTGCTCCTCCACCAAGCCTTTGTGCAGAAACAGCACTTGGCTGGACACTTTGCGCGCGAAGCTCATTTCATGGGTGACCATGATCATGGTGCGGCCTTCCTCGGCCAGACCCTGGATCACCTTCAGCACTTCGCCCACCAGTTCCGGGTCGAGGGCCGAGGTGGGTTCGTCGAACAGCATCACCTCCGGTTCCATCGCCAATGCGCGGGCGATGGCGACACGTTGTTGTTGACCGCCGGAAAGAAACGCCGGGTATTGATCGGCTACGCGGGCCGGTAGGCCGACTTTGTCCAGGTAGCGGCGGGCGCGGTCTTCGGCGTCTTTTTTGCTGCAACCCAGCACCCGGCGTGGGGCCATGGTGATGTTCTCCAGCACGCTCATGTGGCTCCACAGGTTGAAGTGCTGGAACACCATCGCCAGCCGGGTGCGCAAGCGTTGCAGTTCGGCGTCGTCGGCCACGCGCATGCCGTGGCGGTCGCTGACCATGCGGATCGGCTGGCCGTCGAGGGTCATGGCGCCGTCGTTGGGGGTTTCCAGAAAGTTGATGCAGCGCAGGAAGGTGCTCTTGCCCGAGCCGCTGGCGCCGATCAGGCTGATCACGTCACCGGTCTTGGCCTTGAGCGAGACACCTTTGAGCACCTCATTGTCGCCATAGCTTTTATGCAGGCCTTCAACGGTCAATTTGTACATGGGGCGTGCATCCTCAAGGCGAAAGTAGATAGCCGCTGCGGTAGGCCTCGGTGCCTGCGACATGGCCGATGACCATCCCGGCAGTGGCCATGCGGCGCAGCGAACGGGCGTAAAGCAGGCCAGCTTTGCGGCAGTGCACGGGCGTTACGCGGTCGGTAATGGGGTCGATGATTTCGGCCAGCAATTGCCCGGCTTCCAGATATTCGCCGGGCAGGGCGGCGAACACCAGCAAGCCGCCCACTGGCGTGGCTACCGGTTCTACGCCTGCCAGTGGCGTGGCCGGGTAAGGCAGGTCGGGCAACGGCGAGGCCTGGCCGTTGATGGCACCGAAGCGGATCAGGTAATCGATGATCGCCTGGGCGTCGAGGCTGGCCAGGCCGTGGTTGACGTCGCCCTGGCCGCGCAGTTCGACGGTCACCGCGATGCTGCCCATGGGGATCGGAAACCGCGCGCCGAAGCGCTGCTGCAACTGCCACCACACGAGGGTGAAGCATTCGTCGAACGACTGTCCGCCCGAATCCGTAGCCAGCAGGTTGGCTTCCGAGCCGAGGTAACGTGCCAACGCCTCCACCTGCGGCCAGGCTTGCGGCGTGGTGTACAGGTGCGCCACGGCTTCGAAGTCGCAGTGCAGGTCCAGCACCAGGTCGGCATCGCACGCCAGGCGTTGCAACACCAGGCGCTGGGGATTGCAACTGGGTCGCGGCGCCCTGGCCGGCCAGGGCGGAGAGCAGCGCGGCACGGATCACTTGCACGTTGTGCTGCGGATCGTCGCCAAGCAAGGCTTCGACCTGATTGCCCACCTCATCACCGAGGTCGACAAACAGCCGATTGAAGTTCTGCCCGCTCTCCAGCTCGTAGCGGCCCAGCGGGGTGTCCATCAGCACCTGTTCCAGGCCCGCCGGGTTAGCGACCGGCACCAACACGATTTCGCTGCGCAGGCGCCCGGCGGCGGCCAGCTCGGCCAGGCGCGCCTTTAAATGCCAGGCCACCAGCATGCCCGGCAACTCGTCGGCATGCAGCGACGCTTGGACGTAGACTTTGCCTTCGGCGTGTTCCGGGCCGAAGTGAAAACTGTGAATCTGCCGCGCCGTGCCGGGCAGCGGCGCGATCAGTTCGTGAATCCGATGACGCATGAAGGCTCCTTAGTGGCTGGGGCCGAGAAAGGCCAGCCAGCGCCGCTCCGCCAGGCGAAACAGACCGACCAGGGCAAAGGTCACGGTCAGGTAGATCAGCGCGGCGATGCCGAATGATTGAAACGTCATAAAGGTCGCCGAGTTGGCGTCCCGGGCCACTTTGAGGATGTCGGGAATCGTCGCAGTGAAAGCCACGGTGGTCGAGTGCAGCATCAGGATCACTTCGTTGCTGTAGTACGGCAGCGAACGACGCAGCGCCGACGGCATGATCACGTACGCGTAGAGCTTCCAACCGCTGAGCCCATAGGCCTTGGCCGCTTCGACCTCGCCGTGGGCCATGCTGCGGATCGCCCCAGCGAAAATTTCCGTGGTGTAGGCGCAAGTGTTGAGGGCGAAGGCCAGGATGGTGCAGTTCATCGCATCGCGGAAAAAACGCGTCCAACACTGGCTGCGCGCGGACTGCGGCAATGCTGTAGATGCCGGTGTAGCAGATCAGCAACTGGATATAGAGCGGCGTACCGCGAAACAGGTAGGTGTAGAACTGCACCGGCCAACGTACCAGCGGGTTGCGCGAGACGCGGGCGATGGACAGCGGGATCGACACCAGAAAACCAATCACCAGTGAAGCGCTGAGCAGCCACATGGTCATCGCCAGGCCGGTGATGTGCTGGCCGTCGCTGTACAGAAACGGGCGCCAGTATTCCTGCAAGAGTTCGATCATCGCACGGCCTCCCGGGCGCCAGCGGAGTAGCGGCGTTCAAGACGGCGCAGGACAAAGTTGGAGGCACTGGTGATCAGCAGGTAGATCAACGCGGCCAGTACCAGGAAGTAGAACAGTTGGTAGGTGCTCTTGCCGGCATCCTGTGCGGCCTTGACCAGGTCCGCCAGGCCGATGATCGACACCAGCGCGGTGGCCTTGAGCATCACCATCCAGTTATTGCCGATGCCCGGCAGGGCAAAGCGCATCATCTGCGGGAAGGTCACGTAGCGAAACCGCTGGCCGCGCTTGAGCCCGTAAGCAGTGGCGGCTTCCAGTTGGCCGCGGGGCACGGCGAGGATCGCGCCGCGGAAAGTCTCGGTGAAGTAAGCACCGTAGATAAAGCCCAGGGTGATCACCCCGGCGCTGAATGGGTCGATCTCGATGTATTCCCATTCCATAAAGTCGGTCAGGCCGGTGAGCCAGGTTTGCAGGCTATAGAAAATCAGCAGCATCAGCACCAGGTCGGGGACGCCGCGAATCAGGGTGGTATAGAGCTGCGCGGGGATGCGCAAAAAAGGCAGGCTGGATAGTTTGGCGCTGGCGCCGAGCAAACCCAGCAACACGCTGACGGCCAGGGACAGTACCGATAACTTGATGGTCATCCAGGTGCCTTGCAGCAATAGCGGGCCGAAACCCTTCAGGCTGAGTGCGCTCAGCCCGAGGGTTTGCAACAGTTCTTCGAACATAAATCGGGACCTATGGCGATAAAAAAGCGCCCCTGCAAACCCAGGGGCGCCCCAGGCATTATTTGCCGCTGTACAGGTTCAGATCGCCAAAGTGTTTCTTCTGGATGGTGGCGTAGGTGCCATCATCGTGTAACGCTTTGATACCTTTATCCAAAAGGGCCTTCAGCTCAGTGTTACCTTTTTTGATACCGATGGCGGTTTTGGACGGCAGCAGAGGGTCGTCGATAGCCGCGCTGACTTCATAGCCGGCGCCTGCTGGCGACTTCAAAAAGCCCAGTTCGGCTTGCAGCATGTCTTGCACCGAAGCGTCGAGGCGGCCGGAAGTCAGGTCGGCATACACTTGGTCTTGGTTAGCGTAGGCCTTGGTGGTCACACCGGCTTTATCCAGTACCGCCTTGGCGTAGGCTTCCTGAATGGTGCCTTGCTCATAGCCTACCGATTTGCCCTTGAGGGATTCCGGCGTCGAGTAGCCCGCGCCTTTCTTGAATACCAGTGAGGTTGGGCCGGAGAACAGTTCGCTGGAGAAGTCGATGGCTTTCTCACGCACCGGGGTCACGGTCATGGACGAAATCACGCCGTCGAACTTATTGGCTTTCAGGCCCGGAATCATGCCGTCGAAATCACTTTCGACCCATTTGCACTTGACCTTCAGCTCGGCACAGATGGCATTGCCCAGGTCGATATCGAAGCCCACCAGGCTGCCGTCGGCTGCCTTGGATTCGAACGGTGCGTAGGACGGGTCGACACCAAAACGCAATTCCTTGTATTCCTTGGCCAACGCGGTACCGGCGGCCATGCACAGAGCCAGTGCAGAAAGGGTCAGCAATGCTTTTTTCATTATGTAATCCCTTGAAACCAAGATAAGCGCTTGTGGCGCGATTAGGACTGTTACTGAACGGTGTCAGACGGATCCCAAGTAGCAATTTCTGCACCATAGTTCCGAATGAGCGTTTTAAAAGGCAAGAAGGTGGCGATGTGAGTGTAGGAGATGCCCAAAAATGGGCATCGATTTTTCAATGCACCATTTTGGGTGATGGGGCTCAGTTCAGCAGGTCTTGCAAGGTGCCGAGGTTATCGGCGTCTTCCACGTGTTTATCCTGGCGCCAACGCAGCATCCGCGGAAACCGCACCGCAATTCCGCTTTTGTGGCGTTTGGACAGGGCGATGCCCTCGAAGCCCAGCTCGAACACCATGCTCGGCGTCACGCTGCTGACCGGGCCAAATTTTTCCACGGTGGTCTTGCGCACAATGGCGTCGACTTTGCGCATTTCTTCATCGGTCAGCCCGGAATAGGCTTTGGCAAATGGCACCAGGGTGCGCTCGCTGCCCGGCGGCCCATCCCACACCGCAAAGGTGTAGTCGCTGTAGAGGCTGGCGCGTCGGCCGTGGCCGCGCTGGGCGTAGATCAATACCGCGTCGACGCTGAACGGATCGACCTTCCACTTCCACCACACGCCCATGTCTTTGGTGCGGCCCACGCCGTAGAGGCCGTCGCGCGCCTTGAGCATCATGCCCTCCACCCCCAGTTTGCGGGAGTCTTCACGTTGCCGGGCCAAGTCCTGCCAAGTACTGCCCGTCAACAGCGGCGAGGGCAGTAGCACCGGTTGGTTGCACTGTGCGATTACCTGCTCCAACTGTGCGCGGCGTTCGGCTTGGGAATGGTTGCGCCAATCGTCGCCCTGGTGCTCCAGCAGGTCATAGGCGAGCACTGCCACTGGCGCGTCCTCCAGGACTTTTTTGCTCAAGGTCTTGCGACCGATCCGCTGTTGCAGCAGGGCGAAGGGTTGCACCGCGTCCTTCCACACCACGATCTCACCGTCGATCACCGTACCATCCGGCAGACCACTGACCAGCGCATGCAGCTCCGGAAAACGCTCGGTTACCAGTTCCTCGCCACGGGACCAGACCCACAGGCGCCCCTCGCGCTTAACCACTTGCGCGCGAATGCCGTCCCACTTCCATTCCACCTGCCAGTCGGCGGGGGAGCCCAGCAGGGCGTCGAACTGCTCCACCGGTTGCGCCAGGCCATGGGCCAGAAAAAACGGATACGGTTGCCCGCCACGCTGCGCGTGTTCGTCGGACGATTCGGCGGCGATCAGCTTGAGATAGCCCTCGGCTGTAGGACGGTTGGACAAGTCGGTATAGCCCACCAACCGCTGCGCCACCCGTTTGCTGTCCAACTCGGCCATCGCGGCCAGGGCGCGGGTGACCAGCAGTTTCGAAACGCCCACGCGGAAACTGCCGGTGATCAGCTTGATACACACCATCAAACTCGGTTGATCCAGTTGCGCCCACAGCGCCGGCAAGCGTTCGGCCAGTTCCGTCGGCGGCAGGCCGCGCAAGGGCAGCAGTTTTTCTTCCAGCCACACCGCCAGGCCGTCCTCGGAGGTGTAGGTCGATTCTGGCAACAGCAGGGAAATTGTCTCGGCCA